CCAAAAAACCCAAGATGGCCGCCATAGAGACCAACTTTTTCATAAAACTCGACAAATTCCGTTATGATTCTTCTAATTAGTCTGTAATTAGTCAATATCACCTTTAAAAATAGAAAGAAAGTCAAACCCCTAGAAAATTACTCGTATCGTGTACATAACCCCTTAAACTGCAACAACTGTTAAAAACACGCACACCCTACAATAATATAAACGGGAGGTAACTCTGAACTCTGAGACAAAAATAATCCAAGTCTTTCTTGCTGATGGAGGAAGACGAAAAATGACAGTGATAGAATTATTATCATTTTTATGGGTTTTCTTGAACTAGAAATCAAGAGGTGTATTGATAAATAAAGTAATTTTGTGCCAGGTGATTCAGTACAGTTGACCTGATAAATATGAGGAACAACTCGCGCAGGACTGACCTGCCAAATAACGCCAATAATGCTGTAAGTTTACACAGTCTACAGTAGTCTACTTCTTCTCAGTCTTGTGGACTGTAGCCTGAGTAGCCTTGTGCATGTCGTTTGATGACAGTTGTTTAGTTGGTGATTTTCTTGCCAGGGAAATAAAGTAAAGGGGAGGAGTCCGCTGAGGGCCGGCACTTACTGTGACAAGGTCCACTGAGCAAACCACAAGAGTTAGGGTTAGGGTTGGGGCGAGAGGACCTCGTATCCGAGCGACCACTATGAGACAGAGCAGAATTGAGGGCTTGGTGTAGGGGTAAGGGTAGGGTTACAGTTAGGTCTAGGCCTCTTCTTTATTGTGTTTGATGGGGTGGTCGCTCGTTACGGAAGTCCTTCCGTTGGGGCTAAGGTTGGAGTTCGGGTTAGGGCCGTAGGTGGTGTTGGTCGGCCAGCCCTCTGTGGAACTCCTTCCAAATAAGGAGTACGATAGCGATGGGTTTTCCAGATAAAGAAACAAAAACTTGAAAGGGTGGTTTTTGGCTTTGTGAGGAAGTCGTTATTCTGCCCCAACAAGGCCGCTAGGGTGCCAATTTAAGGCAGGTTTCACAATTTTATGCGCACTGAGGTGGTGAGATGTTTCAATGCCTATAAGTTTATGTTTTGTTGAAATAAAAAATTGTTTAAACTGTGTTTGTGTGTGTTTGTTTCAAATAAACTAGAAAACCATTAAAATTTTTTGATTTTTTGATTAAATTCATTTTTTATGACTGATGTTAGGATGTCTATCATCACTTTTCAGAAGGACACCATTTCCCATTTTCTAGAGGTCTAGTCAGATAGCTCATCTGGATAAGGCCAAAAACTCATATTTCCACAAAAATGTTGTGTAGAACTTGGAAAATAGCCTTGAAAAGCTGTTACAACAGCAAATCTCAAGCCTACGTGTCCTTAGACCTAGGCTTGGGATCGATAATAGTAATAGGGCAGTATTTTTATCACACCTGTCCATCTGAATTAGGATGCTCTCAAAATACCATCTAAGCCTACCTTTCTATATATATATGAAATCTGTGGAAAACTTGCCCCCATGTGAAACTAACACTTATTCTGAGTGTGAAAGTCGAAAAAAGTTCGTTTTTTAGTCATAGGTTAAGAAATTATGGGCAGATATATCTCACGTGACCCGTGTCCGTCCGACAGTCAATGACGATCGACCACAAACAAAGAAAGCTATTATCAATACCACGTGACAGAAAACTCTCATTCTTTCTTTGTTCCCGTAATCGCGGGGACGGATATTTTATATTCGCTGCTGGTCTGGACTTCTTGTGTGAACGGATCATCCGCAATCGGGTTTAGAATGTTGTCCATCCAATGGCAATTGACCTACCTAATGACGATCGACAAGAATGTTAGTTTTGCGTAAATATTCCGCATTTTCTTATCAAATCGGAGTTTCTGATACTGTTTCGTGTTTATTCATTCAACTTTGATATAAGACTAGATGAAAAACAACAAGAATGGAGTAAATAATGGGAATAGTAATAGTAAATCATTCCGATCAAAAGAACATCGCAAATGCGCAATTTGAGTCGAACATTCTAGATTCGGATGGACATTCGCAGTTGATCGCGCTGATGGTAAAAAATGCACTGAAGTTTCGTGATGGATTCGGAAGGACGTGACATCGCATGGCGTCGGAAAGAATGTGTTTGTGCGTTTCAGTTTCGCGTGGGTTATTTATTGTTTATCTTATGTAATTTCGCTACTTTAACCAAAAAAAAAGCAATTTGATTATTTGAAAGGAGGAATATTGGAACTTTGACAGATTTTTTAGGTGAAAAATAGAGCTTGATCTAGAATAGATCTAGGCTACATTATCTACATTCTTCTAGATCTAGATCGTATGGGGGTTATTTTTTGGCACTTTTTACTATTTTTAACTTAAACTTGGAGGGCAATTTCAGTCTATTCTTTCTGTGTTGTTTAGTTAGGATCTAGGCTAATGTAGACCATATAATCAGTCTTGGTTGAGTTTGGACTTGGGGTTATAAAATTATTTACTTTTTTTTTGCAGGCCATAGATATATTTATAGATTTCTTTTTCTAAATATTTTTCAATTTTAAAGCATTTGATACTAGATCTAGAATGAAGAGTTCCCCTACATGTTAATTTCTACTCCTTTGCAGGTGAGATCATGTATATACAGCAGGCCTACTGAAACAATGTTCACAGACTTTTTTTTACCCCTTTGCAATTTAGATTATGTTAGAAAGGAAGTGTACATTGTGCAACATTTGTCTACTCCTTTCATTTGCAGATGAGGTCCTTCTTGTTGAGGACTTTACCAAGAATAGAAAAAACAACTTACCTTTATGAAGTGAAGTCTGCCCACTTCTGTAAGAGGCAGATGACACTCCATCCAGTAGTCTCTCATTACAAAAATGACGACAACCGACTCATGACACACAATGAATATATATTCATACCACACAACATCACCCATGATTTTAACATGGTTAATCACCTGACAGTAGGACTTGACAATGTGACAAAACTGAAAGACCCCCACTTTCAAACTCACATCTCTGCCATACAAATAATGTGAGGTTTCGCTGTGAAATCAGGCACTTGTCAAAATAGTGAAATCGAAGGAGCGGGCAGTTTTCTGCAAGAGTTTGACAATTTTAATGAAAATTTTGTTTTTTGGCTCAACGCCTTTTATGTCCCTTCAATCGCAAATATCTTGACTTCTCCTCGAGATTAATGGGTATTGTTTTCATCCAAAGCAAGACAAAAATAATTAAGCTTTCAGATGGTACCAATAACCCCACATCCCCAAAATTCTAAGGCCTGATCCGACCGTGTCGTGACACATTTATTTTTAATTAAGCCTTCATGAGGACTTTATTGCTTTTGTGTTTCTTTTCTGTATTCAATTGCCAGTTCAGTGATATGTGGTTTGTGGTTTTATTTGTATAAATAAGGATTTACAAGTATTTCTGATAACCCCCCTGATATCATGAAAATCTCAAAATTACTCTGCTTCTGAGGCAAAATAATGCACCTTTCCAAGGGTTAATGTACACAGTGTTCTCTTTTTTACCACACACTGTTACTTAATATTCATTTCCCATTGGTTTTCTGTGTTTATGTGATGTATTTTTGGCAAAATAACCTTTCAAATGATATTTTTCCAATTTTCAGGGGGGATAACCCAATAATTAAAAATTATTATTTTGCCTCTAACTTGGCTATCTTTCAGTGAATTTTCATAAAAAACCTGTACTCTAGTACATTTTAACTTACTTTTTCATATTACAAAGAGCTCAGGAAAGTTTTGTGCTTTGTTTGACAATTATAGAATGCTACACTTAATTTGTTATTTTAACTGCAGGGTTATGTAACAAATTGAGTAATTTGGGTATAAATCTTGGGTTTCCAGCTTTTTTTCTTCCTATGTAAGCTGTTTGGGTGTTCTTTGGTGGATTGTGAATATGTTTGTGTTATATATGTGTACTTTATGTGATTTACAGAGAGATTTCAGTAAGCTTCTTCATTTAGTGAGAATCAGGGGGAGTTAACTTTGAAGGTCTCTTACACACACTGCGATGAGCTGACGCTCATAAAATATGCATTTCTAGTATCCTGAAATGTTAAGCTTTCAAACAGTATATCATATGTCTTGTTTTATAACATTTCATATTTGGTCAATTTTGGGAAATGCTGAGCACCCAAATTGTGAAACCTGCCATAATCTGGTCACTATTCTGGATTTTTTTGGATTTGGACACCCCCCCCCCCCCCCCACCCGTTTCTGGTTTGAGCCTATCCTTTGATAATTTGCAAGATGGCGGGCGCTGGCTCCTCGCTGAAACTTTGCAATGCTTTCAGTTCGTATTCATAAAGAGTTTTAAAAGCTCACATAAACGCCTTCCAAACTGAAACACTTACACGAGTACAATTCATTATTTCCTTATATTCGTTCTGTGGATAAATTCAAAAGTGATGACCCCTTATGTCATGCATTCAAATACACTCTCCCCCCTGCCCCCACCCTTGTTTTCTCCAAGCCACCCTCTACAATAGACTATAATTTTGAAAAAATAATATTAAATAACAATTATCAAATGCATAAAAATATCTATATAATATATATATATATAAAACTAAATCTAGATTATCTATGAACTAAATTTACAATAAAATGGCCTCCTAAGTTTGGTGACTTCCACAGCTTGCATGTTCTTACAAACTGCAAATGTACATTTTTTGTGCATTACATTATAATATTGTTTTTCGTCCAAATATGTAGCGATAAGAAATGTAATTTTTAAATAGAAGACATTATAAGGTGCTGTCCTGAAAAAAAGTTCCTATAAATTGCCCAAAAGGCTGAAGTATGTCTGCTTCTTTGGTTTCATCATTTTGATGAGAGCCTAATTTCACCACGATAACAAACATGGTATAATTTTACTACAAAAGCATTCAGATGCACCGCTTTTTACATTAAGAGGCTAAATCGCCATTTGGCTGCAGAACACACCTATATATGGCCATTAATACCATCATAAATCAAATACTTTTTGAAACTCAAATTTCAAACCTTAAATTAAATTGCAAAACCTTTCATTATGGTGAAGAAACACTAGTGTCGAGCTCTGACCTTAAAATCTTTTATTTGTGAATAAATGAGCATTCATTTCTTATTCTAGTGTCCACAGATAAATGAACAAATTTATAAGTAAAAAAATCACTTGCTGTGTATCGCACTGTGTGCGAGCAGAAGTTATTTAATAAAATTAAACGGTATACCACAAAGATTCATTATTTATTCCTCAAGATGCCTCTTGTTTGTGATGTCATGAATGAGTGAGTGAGCTGAGCCGGCAACACTAATCTTTGCTTGCTCGTTAATGATGTCACAATGGCACAATGCTGTCCAACCAGCAGCTATCTTCAGGAAACAATGCACATTTACCAGCACAGGTATGAGATGTCCACAACCTGACTGCTTGTTTCTCAATTTGGTAATGAAACAGTAGACCTAGATCTTGGTCTTTCTTCTGACACTACAATACAACCAGCTCCTCGTTAGGGCTTGCCAGTTGCACAGCCATCTTTTGTCTTTGAATTGCGGTCCCATGACCACCGGATGTGTTGAACTCAGGGTGATCAGCGATACGCCTTGAGCCTATTGCATACGCTATTTGTGAATAATTTCACCAGTTCTTGTAAATGGTGTGTTCTTTTTTTTTGAGTGTACCCTCTGCACTCGCGGTAATCAAGCGCTCGCTACACCATGATGAAAAACAGATGTTATATGCCTCCAACCTCCCCCAGTTTGCTACAAAACACAAAATATTACTGTGCTATTGGGCCTATTGTAATATTATAGCTTACATAATAGCATTAACAAAAACTAATATTTTGTGATGGATAAAAAGTCAAAATTCATGTAAAATGGATAAAAGTGACCTAGAAAAGTGCTGAGGAATATCTGAATGTAAGACGTGTGAAATTAAAATGATATCAGAACATTAATTTGTATTTAATTTAGAGAAAACTGGAACTGTGGACTATGTCAATATTATTGTTGTCAAGTCTGTCAGTACTGTATATTTGTGAAATAGTTTATTCAGTAGATACTACACTAGAATTAAAATCTAGACTGTGCATCTTGAGTCTGATTACTTCTTCCGCTGGCCTATATTTGGAACCAAGAAAGAACATTAAAAAGTTAATAAGCTTCCAAGTTACTTAGGCCTTATTATTATGCATGTTGGAGGCTTTAGGGTCAGGAGACTCAGGCAGGTTTCTAGAGGCTTTAAACAAATGATTCCTCATGCTTCTGATCTTTTTATTCTTGACCCCTTTGCACTTTGAAGTATTTCTCCAAGATGCATCATTAAATGTCCAATCTCATCTTGACACTAGATCAGGAGATAGTACATCCTTGAGTTTTTAGTTGATTTATATAAATATTGTTTAGCTTAGATTAATACTGGGTTTCGAAATCATTTTGTAGGTGTCGATCTTTTGACTTTTGATCTAAGTTCAAATTTAATATTCCATGAGAATTATCATTTTAATTTTACTCATCCCCTCCTGCAATTTTGGTTTCTACAATGTGCCGCCTCACTCTAAATTTATTATTGTTTTTCATTTTTAGAAAAGTTTAAAAACAAATTTGTGTCTTTATTGAAAGTCTGCTCAGACTGTGAAAATAGTTTTTTAAATCTTCTTGTTCCAAAGACCTTGGTGCTCTTGATATGTAGGCCTTGTTTGTTAAACTGATGATTTCACTTGACTATAATTACAGGCAATGGGGCGAGGGGGCCTCCCGAACAATCCTGCTCTACTTCAGCAACAGCAATTCTTGCTTCAGCAGCGGGAGCAGTTCTTGCTTCGTCAACAAATCATACAAAGAGAGCAGGTAATGCATGGCTGTTAAGTCTTCTTTGTAAAATTGTCTTCAGACTTTCTCACATTTTTGTCAAGTGTTTTTTGTACCTTTTATAGTTTAATAATAATAATAATAGTAATAATAATAATAATAATAATAATAATATAATAGTAACAGCTCATTTATAATGAGTAATGGTTATAATAATACATAATAAGAAGAGGATATTTCCCCAATGAAACAGAAGAATTTTTATGAATTAAAGGTTAAGTTGACTTGTGGCATTTTCTGTGGGTGATGAGACCAATTCTGGCAGAGAAAAGTTTGCTGCAGTTTAAAAAAAATTATTTTCCAATTGTAAATACAGTCAATGCTTATTACAAAACTTGAGACAAAAAAAACGTTTGAGCTAACCTGGTGGATTATATCCAGGCACTGGGGTTTCCTCCTCTGATTTGATGCTACTAATGTACCTGGATACCTCCAGGTGTCATCTCTTACTGAGAGGTTAATGTGTAATGACCTTCCCTTTTTCACGGTTGCAAGCTGCCATTGCACATTCTGCTTTACCCAAGCCAGTCCGTGTACAAACTAAGTAATAATGTAGGACTCAAATTATATATATACTTTCTTTTTTATATTTGATATGTCTCCTGATGTAATGATACAAAAATTAAGCTATGAATGAAGTTTGTCATTATGCATGATCCATGCTTTGTTATTGTGCATACTACCGTTATTAAAATCTGATTTCTGTTCTTCTGTTTAATGAGGCTCACTTTTTGTAAGGAAGATAAAATGTAAGGTGCTCCTCAGTTGGTAAAAACTAAGCTGTGAACAAAGACACTCACAACCTTCACATTCACCAAGGCAGTTTTTTGTCTTTCGTCTTGCTAATATTTTATGTCTCTTTTTGCTGCTATCGCTTAACCAGGACATTTTTGTAGGAGATCAATCTTGCTTTTTTTCCAGTGTTCTGCCATGCCAAACTTATATGAGTTCTTAAGTTGACTTCCCTCCAAAAATCTACTTAAAAACAATTGCAAAAAAAAAAAAGACGGTAGTTTCAGATTGATCTGAATTTGAATGAAGAATCATATTGCCGTCTGTTTTTAAAAAAATGGTATACAGAGAGAGAGCAGAGGCTTGCTAATGCTCTCGGTTCTTCCTGTTGGTCTGACTTTTTCTTTTGTCTTTGGCGCTGTATAGGATGCTAGATGTGTGTTGCATTTTGTTGATTTTTTAGACTGTGGTCTCATAGTTCATCATTTCATGTCCATCTTGAAAGTTATGTAGAAACAAGATATTGTGCCCGTCGTTTTCATAGTCATAAAAAGGTGCTCTGGGGAATTACCAAGACATTATCCCGACAATTAACATTTTTCAAGAAGAACCAGGTAAAAGCACCTTCATGGTTTCCTACTTGGATTTAAGTCTTTTGCCTTTTTATTCTAATGCACCCCTTTCTATAATTACTTTAAAAACATTTTCTTGTATTTTTTGTCTTGCTTTACCTTATGGAATGGTTTTTTAGGCATCATATCTTTTTTTTTCTCAATGTTAATGGATGTGAGTTTGTTCATCCCCATTTTGTTTTTTCTTATTTCTATCTTTCTACCCATATTTCCATCCTTCCGTCTTTCTAGCATTTTGTGTCAGATGATGTAGTCAGAGCGTTTTTTATCTTTGGTACATTTGAGTCTCAGTTTGTCTTCAATATGTCCTCAGCTCCAGCGTCAAAGAATTCTCCGTCAGCAAGAACTTCTTTCTCAGCAGCAGCAGCAGCAGCAGGGACTTGGGGCTGCCATCAGCCAACTGCAGCAGAAAACCCGAGAACAGCAACAGATGCAAGGGCTTCAGCAAGGGCCCTGGCAACAGAACATTCCTCCGTCTGTGAGACCGGGACTCGCGCCTGCATCTGTGGCAGGGGCCCCCTCTCGGTTGCCGATAAATCCGCCACCACTGCAGGATGTGATAAAAAGGCCACCGGGCTTTGTGCCGCCTCCGTCTGCCACAAGGGATATTGTCGGCGGTGCGGGTGGTGGTACTGTGATGGGGGCATGGGGGAATAATAATTCTGGGAGATTCGTCACTCCCCAACAAGCTAAAGGTTTCGCTGGTGGCACTGTTGTTTCGGAGTCTATGGTGAAGCCTCATGTTGGTGGTTTTCCTCTGCCCCTGAACCCATCTCAACAGACCGAGATACCTCGGAGTAGCTCAGTGCCGAATCTTCAAGGTGGTGCGACAAGCTACAAGAATTTACAGCCCCAGGGATCTCCTGCCAGCGAGAAAATGGCTCTGGCCCATGGGGGCTCCACTTTCAGGAAGCCGTCTCAATTCTTTGATAGTGCAGGTTCGAATTCGAGGTCTAGTAGCAGTGACAGATATAGTGACAGAAACTCACAGAGGTCCGTGTCATCAAGACGTTCGGAATCCTCCGACAGGTTCAGTAACAGAAACGACCGAAAAGATGGAAGAGGATGGCAAGATAGTCCTAGACAGAGAAATTGTGACCCTGATCAGTATGGTCCAAATGATAGCTCAAGATCTTCGAGGTATTCTGAGTTTAATCCCTCGCTCTCCTCATCTCGTGATGGAGGGAGGAGTGGAGGAAGAGATTGGAGCAGCAGGAGTAGCAGCAGAGAAAGATCAGCACATGTCTTAGATAGTGCACGTGGTGGTAGAGGTAGAGACTTTTCAAGGGTTAGTTCATCCAGAGATCGAGAGAAAGTACCGCACGGTGGACGGACACCTTCACCTGAACCTCGATCAATCAGTCGTGAGAGTTCTCGAGACCGAGAGAGTCTCCGGGACAGAGAGAGATCGAGAGATAGAGCCACACATTCATATGGAGCAGACAGAAGCAGAAGCGAGCGGGGATCGTCAGAGTATAATTCGTCGAGAAGGAGCCTGAGGAGTCCAAGGAATAGATCCCCGCGTGATATCACTAGATCTCAGAGTCAGGGCCCGAGAGATTCATCAAGAGGTGTTTCTAGTAGCAGTGGCAGGCACATGCAGGCAACGGCTGCTGACTTCAGGACCCGGGATTCCTCACCGTCTGCTGGTAGCAGAATGAGTAACGCAGAGACCACAGGTGCGGATGATCTTGTCGTGGAAGAGGATGAGACGGTCATTTACTTCACCCGCTCCTGTCCAGCTGATCTGTACTTCACAAAGCAACCAGGTTCTGGAGATACTCAGGCGTCGAGTCGGATGATTGAACTCGAGAACAGGTTCGAAGAAGAAGTTGTGCGTAGGGCGGAGCGTATGAAAGCATCCCAGCCCCAGGAGAAAGAAACCTCGTGCGAGTCGAATAAACCACATCACCACCATCACCATCACCATCACCACTGCTCGGGGCACAAGTCCGGATCGTCTTCAAGTGAAAGCTCATCAGATGAAGATGATGATGATGACGATGATGATGAAGGGGCAAATCAGATAATGGAAGAGTGGGAGAAGAGGAAGAAGCACCCCTACAGCCTGCACCCGGAGCTGTGGTTCAATATTAAAGGCCAGGTAAGAAAGAGACTTTCTTACTTTACTTGATTTGTCCTCTTTCTGTCTCTAGCAAGTTGGATGGCCTTGCTGGGTGGAATGTTGTATGTTTTCAGGGTACTCTTCACACCCTCGATCCAGGTCTTCTTTTGGTGTTCCTCTTGGCTTGTACCCTGATATTTTTTTGTAGCACGCTTTACTGTCAATCTTGTGAGGTGCCATATGTGTCAGATGTCCAAACCTCCTGATTGTTTGACGTCAGATAGAAATGGGAGTTTGACAAACGCGGATTTCTACATTTGTGTCTTGTGTCAAATTACAAATATCTATCTCAAGGGTATTGTATGTTCTCTGTGGGCTTATGGTTAGGTTCGTCACCTTGCATGTAGGAGGCATTTGTTTAATTCCAGTCATATGAGGAACTTATTTTGTGCAGTATTTCTGTCTGCCGCTTAGGATATTTGTTTCTCGGTCTCCATTAGCCTGATAGTCAGGGCCGAAGTACAGAGAGTAGGTGGCAATTTCAGGAAAGTCGCCAATTCACTTTTCTGAAGGCTCTTTTTTTATTTGAAAAAGGTACTGCTGAAAGAAAGCAGTATGAGCAACCCCTTAATTTGGGTTTCTTTAAACTCCTTCGGTTGACTGTTAAGTATGGGTAAATGATATAATCTCGTACTGTATACCTGGGGCTCCCCTCAGCTCATGACAATTTAGATCATTTAGGTTAAAAAACTGGCTGCTTTGGTCCAGTTTTGGCTGGATCAGTCTTTGATGAGAAGGATTTTTCATCCCTGATGACATATTGGGACGGTCAGTAAAATATTCTTACAACCTATGCTGGTTTGGAATCAAACTCATTTCTTTTGCATGCTAGGTGAAAAGCCTAACTATTGCACCACAGATGCTAGTAAACACTGGGGGCTCCAATGGCTAAGTGAGTAGTGAGTTTAGACTCAAGTAATTTCAAGCAAGTGTTGGTGACAGGGGGATCAGATGGATGGTCACTGGAGTGCATCCTTGAGCAAGACACGACTTGACAACCTTAGCTCAAAATACAGGGCAGTGCACAGTGGCAACCGACAGTGGCATGGTTGTAAACGTTACTGTTCTCTATTTGTGTAATATTGTGTATTTATGTATGTATTTATTCATGTATTTATGTGTGTACATATTTATAATTCTGTATTTATGTATGTATACGTATGTTTACCGTTGTAAACCAAAGTGCACTTGTGGGACAAATAAAAGGGTAAAAAGTGTAAAAGTGTAAAAATAAAAAGTCTCAAATTGTTACGAGGTAAAAGTCAGAAAATTGTAAGTGCATCAAGCGTACTTGTGAGACAAGATGTGTGCTTACTCTATATTCACACTGCAAGTTGTAAGCTTAGTACTGTCCTGTGCCAACTCCATGTTGATGGCTTTAACATGAAATTACTTTGAAAGCACTGAATTACAGACGAGAAAATGGGAGCTACCACAAAATGTATAACAGCAGAGGCTTTTATTTCTTGAATTCAAATGATACATACAAGTTTTATCCAAAGTGATTAAATAGTTCTTGCAAAAGCCGACTATTGTTGCTAGGGCATGCTTGCTATTTTGACTTTGCTTGGTTTTCAGTTTAAAACAGACATTACTTTAGGGCTGTGGAATGATGGGATTTATTTGAATCAAAGACATTATTATCCATGCTCATACATGGTGTGCTTTGATGATATCTTCTCATCAAATAAACTGTGAGAGCATCACACTACTTGTCATAGGTAACAATGGTTTGTTATCACTATTATCATTATTTTTATTTTTGTTATTGCTACTGTTATATTATTTTTATTAGTTTAGGTATAGTTATTGTTACTGTTATTGTTATTATTATAATTATTGTTATTGTTATTATTATTGTTATTTCATGTGAAACCGTTCTCTGTCACACCTCCTCAGGCCAACGATGGTCCACTGTGCCGCTGCAGCATCAAGTCCCGCAAGTCTGGCATCCGGCATGACATTTACCCCGGCGAGGAGCCACTTCCCGTGTGTGACCCTGAGAGCAACAACCTTGGCCAGCTGTGGCACTACCGTGTGACACTGTCGCCCTCCACAAACCTGCTGACGCGCGTCCCTACGCTCATACAGCACGACGACCACGAGTACATCTTCGAAGGCTTCTCCATCTTCAGCCACAAACCCCTGGAGCACGTCCCCCCCTGCCGACTGCTGAGGTTCAACATTGAGTACACGATTCGCTTCTTACCGGAAGCGCCGCCGGAGAATTTCACTGTTCGGAGTTTGAACCTCCTCGGGCAGTTTCTGTTTTCGGAGATTTTGGAACTGATCGATATGGACTGGTCGGGGCCGGGCGGCGGTTGTCAGAGGTTTCATTTGTTGCCGCGATTTTCACGCACTTTGCCGGATTCAGGGTGCAAGGAGGTGCTCTCGATGAACACGGTGCTGAGTTTTTTGCTGCGTTCAGCACGAATGCTTGTGGAGGAGAAGAGAGTTGAGGAGCTGTTGAATTGTGGGGACGAGCAGTGGCGGACGTTTGTGGACGAAGTCCGTGGGATGATTGTCACCAGCCCCGGCATGGTAAGAGACAGAGTTTTTAGGAATTGGAGGGTGTTGGTTTGTTCCACAGGGAGGCTGAGTCCCACTGCAATGATTTCCTCAAAAATGCAAACAACCCAGGAGGAACCAGATTTTAACTAATTCGCTACGTATTATTTTCGGCTTGTGGACAAATTTTTTTCGGGAGGGCGAATGAGATGATGACTAGTGGGCAGTTAAATGTCTTTGGGGCCGCAAATTCAAATAAATATCAACGTATTATATACCAATATTTTCAGTATGGTTTGTAGAATACATCTGTAATGTTTATTTATGTATTTTTCAACTTTGGTTCCTGTAAGAGGCAATTATGCAACACAATTTTGATTGGATGCGAATAAAATTTGAAAATAAAAAATTAATAATCTTTGGTGAAACTAAAAACTATGTTTGCACCTAGTCAAATGATGCATCAAAATAACCATAAATGAATATAAAACTGGAAAATATTGAAAAATTTGCAGTTATTTACATATATTCGATAATATTTGTACATTTGGATCATAACATCCGATATTGAAAAAAAATAAAAATTGTATAATCTTGAAAAATGATCACAAACAGAAAAAACCCACTCGTATCTTATATGGAATTATTCAGAATTGCATTTGGAATAAACCTATACTTGTCTTGAGTGGCACTTTTTGTGTAATTTCATCAAAAAGTAGTGATTTTGGGGGAAAAAAATATTTTGACAATTTAGATCTAGACCTAAATCTAGCACTCAAAAATATTGATTTTTCAATAAAAGTGCATTGACAATAGGAGTCCAATCGTATCAATATTATAAAAAAGAGTCCTACTTTTCTTTACTGGGCAAAATAATGATAGATTTTGTTGTGTAAAATTACTTAGACTGGTGTCCGGGCTATCATTTTGGCATCGCGATAAAACAAAGTCAAATAAACTACGAAATCGCGTTTCAAAACTGAATCTAAATTTGCGATTTTCAGTGGAAATGCTTGACCGGGTAGTCAACATTATATTATGACCTTTATCTTAACATGGATATGTGGATTGGAATAGAAACGAAGCTAAAATTGAACGTACTGACGGCACATTAGCCACGCCCTCCACGGCTCGGAGTATCGAATGAGTTAATGACAATGACAATGACAATCTTTATTCATCTCCCAGGGAGAAATTTGTCTTGGTTATTAACAATGGCAATAGACATTACAAAGATTAGGTGCACTCACGCATACGCACAACAAGACAGGTTTGAAGCAGAGAGATATGAATATATATATGTTTGTGAGATTTTATGTTTATGCATATGTGTGGCAAGTCTGGGAGGGGGGAGACAGAGATAGGGGTGGGGTGGGGGGTCTTTTTGTATAGGAAATACTGCAACCGTTAAAAAGAAAACTATTTGTGTTTTTTTTTTTACTCTTTATTTTTACCACTTACACTCTTACATATATTTTCTAAGGAATTTTAGCTTGATTTCTGCATACCTCACCAGTGATTGCCTGCTTTTGCATAAATGATTAAATAATTTAGATTTTTTGATGACTTCAATACAGAAATGAAAGCCCACAGCTAAATCATTGATATTTTTCACTTCTTTTAAGCAGGTCTCCTTTTCTTGATAAGTGGTTAGTTTGTGATTGCTGTAGTAAAGTCTTCTTCTAATTCATTTCAGTGCTCTATAGTCTTAAATGTTTTCTTTCAAAATGAAGCAGTTGCCTTGCCGACTCAGTGTAACTTCAGATCAGCAACAGTGAAATACATATATCCATCTCACAGTGAGGAAATCATAGGTGGTCATGCTCAACAGCTGTGGAGACATGTGGTTATGATAACAGTAATAGCTCGGATTCGGGCTCAACTCTTGATGTTTTTGCCTTTTCTGCAGCGCCCCAGCTCTCTCCGCATTGACCAGCTGGACAGGAAGATGACAGAGCCTTCGGTGCCGCCTTCCGACGATCCAGAGTCCGCATCTCAGGAGAAAGGAGCGGAAAAAGAGTCCAAACAGGATCGCGAGGAGAAGCAGCGCTTTCCGTTGATTATCCATCAGGTGACCAGATCTTGCACTTGTAGTATATGAACCTACCTGACTCCAGTAGGCTTCAAAGAACAAATTTATAAATGTGATGCGTGCTTCAGAGAAAAAATTTATAAATGTGAGGCGTGCTTCAAAGAACAAATTTATAAATGTGAGGCGTGCTTCAAAGAACAAATTTATAAATGTGAGGCGTGCTTCAAAGAACAAATTTATAAATGTGATGCGTGCTTCAAAGAACAAATTTATAAATGTGAGGCGTGCTTCAAAGAACAAATTTATAAATGTGAGGCGTGCTTCAAAGAACAAATTTACAAATGTGAGGCGTGCTTCAAAGAACAAATTTATAAATGTGAAACGTGCTTCAAAGAACAAATTTATAAATGTGAAACGTGCTTCAAAGAACAAATTTATGAATGTGAGGCGTGCTGTCAAAATGAGTTACTTCTCGCAATCCAAGAATGGAAATATTGGCCGAAAATCGACTCTGAGGTCAGATTTATAGAGTTTTAAATTGATCATATTTTGTTCAAGTCTACCATGTCTTTTATTATTTCATATTTACAAATTTTACAAAGTCGACGTATCAATTTCCGTAAGGCTAAAGTCTGAGATATAACTCATTTTGTCAGCACACCTCAGGGCTGAAGTAGACTGCGACTTCTACCATCTGTTATGGCCTTTTATTTATGTATAAGATTTGACTCTTTGATTTGTATGTCTGTTGTGTTATTGTGCGATTTTATTGTATGATGTCATTGTGCGAAGTCGTTGTGTGATGACTTTTCAAAAAAAGATAAATAAAATAGTGGAATTTCTTTTTCCTCTGTTTATATGTGTGTAATATACGTGATCCGTATGCACGCATACCATTGTTTAAAGAGTTTCCAAAAGAAATGAGTAGACAAGTTAACATTTTTAAAAATATACATTTGCCCCACTCCTTTCCTGCCGTGTGGAACAGGGTTACCGTCCAGCCCAGTTGAGCTATGCTGGGGACCCTGCCTACCGCAAGGCCTGGAAGCAGTATGTGAAGTTCCGGCATCTTCTGAACAGCAAGCCGAAGATCTTAGCAGACGACAAACAGCGACTGAAGGAGCAGGAGGAGAGACTCCAAGAGATACGGATGAAGAAGACCATGAAGAGAGAAGTAGGTCACAGTAGTGGAAACTGAACAAAACTTTTTTAATTCTTTTGTTAATTTTGAAAATAAAATGATGTTTTAATCATTAGGTCACAGTGCTGTAAGATAAGACGTCGTTTCAATTTTTATTTTGATGATGTATTGGGTGTATTTGTCACTGTAGATGGCCTGTGTAGTTCAAACCAACATCTCTTTCTAAAATTAGCTTTAGTTGCCTATTTTAGCAGGTCACATAGTTTATCAACTCTTTCAAAAAGAAAAGAAATACGTTAATCTGTTTTTCCCTTGTTGAAAAATACTGCCCTATTATTTTCTGTTGATACATATACTGAACGATTCATTTTCTTCCTGTTGACAAATACGGACTTGTTTTTCCTTGTTGGCAAGTACTGACCTATTTTTTCCTGCGGACGGATACGGACTTGTTTCTCCCTGTTGGCAAATACTGACCTGCTCTTCCTCTGCCCACCCCCTGGGGCGGTGCCACTGACTGAAGTGTCTTAAGGCCATTCCCAAAGGGGGGACATTTCTCATTCTAATGCACAGTAGAATTGTTAATGGGCTGATCCAACAATGTCATGCTCATAACTGTGCCTGAACTACAACAGAGAACTGCTGCTTTTTCTTTCCTAATCCTTACTATCGTCATTTTCCTCTACTTCTTTTGTATGTTTGTCACACTCTTGTGACCCGCTATTTCCGGGGTGCCTTGATAGTCGAAGCAGACTTTGTGCTGTTGAAGCTAGAGAGGTGAGCAGAGTAAGTCTGTTTCCCTGTAAGGACTTCTCTGTTGACGTCCACCCCTTGGCCCTCATTTGACCTTATGCAGTTGTGAGTGGTGTAAAACTCTCTACTAAAACTAACAAAAACTTTCCTCTGCCCAACCCCCATCCTCCAAAGGTCACAGTAGAGCTGAGCAGTCAAAACTTCCTGCTGACAGGGCTGCGAGCAGACGTGTGCCAACACGCACTCATGATGCCTGTTCTGATGAGCCACCTTCGCTTTCACCTGTGCCTGGATGTGCTGGAGAACACATTGGACTACAAGTTTATTGACCGCACTCTGCTACAGGTATTGGGGGGGGTGGCGTGGTTCCCATGTCAGAGGATGGCCTGTTGATGGATGGGGAGGCGGGGACGTACAACATACCTGTCCCCGTCGTTTTATGCAAGAAAAATTCTGAAATTATGCAAACTGAGCCCAAAAATGTGAAATTATGCGATTCTGTTAACTTTAACAAAGAGTGTTACAGGAAAATAATAAGAAATTCTGCAAAAAATGATCAAATTTTGCTAAATTGTGCAGGGTGCATAAAACCATGGGTACAGACGTACATAATATATGAGGCAGTGTGGTGAAATCAGGCGCTCATCAAAATAATGAAATTGATGGAACTGGCATTTTTCTGCCAGTTTGGCTATTTTTATCGAATTGTTGTTTTTTGGCTTGACACCTTTGTTCTCCAATTAAAAACACACTTCTGTGTCGATTTTACTGAAACACATTGATTAAAGGCACACATAATGTAAGTTTTCAGTTTCCACGGACTAACAAGCTATGGAAATGACCAAACTTTGGCGGCCATTTTCTCGTTAATTCTACCTTTGAAACTAGGCGACTCCACCTTCTTCAATCTCAAGTATCTTGACTTCTACTCAGAATAGATGGGATTTTTTTTCCACCAATAGCAAGACAACTGAACAACCTTTAACACATTACACCCTAAGGGTCTGGACGGGAAGTCCATTGTTAGATCCTAAGCAAGGGGAAAGAACCCACCTCCCGTGAATACAAGCCTTTAAAAAACACATTTTAAAAATACTAAACAAATTTTAAAATTTGTGAAAAAATAAGTTAAAGCGGAAAATTAATGTAGTTTCAGAAAAATATAACTTTATGTCTACGCAAACTGTTGGAAATGTTCTAACTTTAGTTTGATCGGGGTAACCGACCCGTCACTCTCACTCTCAACCTCGCGGTCGGGCCCAAGATCTAAATTCTAGATTTTCTGCGTCTGATCAATCTGAATCGCCCCAAACTCTTGCTACAACGTTTTCATCAAAATCTGAGCCATCTGATTTGCCATATGCTTGTTTTTGCTCAAATCCATAGTTTTTTTCCGCTTTTGAACTCAATTGTGTCGCTTTTCAACAAGTCGAGACACTTTCGAAGTGTCGGTAACACGATCGCACTTCGATCAGCTCTAATACTAAAACTACTGTCCCGAAAAATTTCGTTTCGGTATCAAACGAAAGAAGAAACTTTTTGCTGTAACTATGCAAATCAAAATCTCAGCCCCAGAGTACTTAGTTTCTAAAGACACTAGGTCTTTAACAGATGTGTTAAGATTATGCCAATAACCTCACATGCCCCAAAATTGACGAGCGCCTGATTTCATCGTGACCTGACACACATACTAATCTGGGGAGGGGGGGATTGTACAGGAGTCAATTTCCCCTATTGCATGCTACGTTGGACTACTAACTTGGTACTTAAAGGGATGGAGGGGGGGGTGCAATGGTTGTATTACCAATGGGTGAACTGAGCTTAGACTACATCTGCAGAAGAACCATCGTGTCGAACAGAGTTCAGTTTTGAATTGGTAGTGTGGAGAAAAGTAATGCAAGACACATTTTACTCGAGCTGAGCTTCAGGGCAATATAGGTCCGAAATTATTTTTTTAAAATTAGAAAATGAGTTCCATTAAATAGATCAAAATTCTTTAGCCATATATATACCGATATTTACTGGCTTCTCTCGCGGGATTTTCGCAAGTCATTGGTCAGCTTGGATATGATAAAAATTGGTCCATAACGTTATGCTGTAGCTTCGGCTTCATTTTTGGAGAAGATTATGTGTCAGATCTAGCATCAGCAGTCAGAGAAATATTGGTGTTTTATGTCCCCCTTGATACAATTTAGATAATTTAGGAGTTGGGCTTTGACCCCAACTGTCAGGGTCAAACTGCTCTTTGAGGGATATAGCGTCACAGTAGAAAGATAAAATGATACTCAATAGAATTAGCAGTCAGAATCTGTGCTTACTTTACTTCTACAGAATGCCAAAGAATGGGAATACCAGGAGTCAGCTCAGTGGAGAAGAAATTGAAGGAATGGGTCGCCATAGGTAGCAGAGGCTGGGAACAGGAAAGGGTTATACTATTATTTCTGATGTGGAAGCGAGCGGACATACTCGCCAAAAGGGGATCTAGACATGAACAGCCCAACGCTCTAACCTCATACAACCCTGCAAAAGAAATCATTAAAAGCAATGCAAACAAGATTAGATGAACAGATGGACCTTGGGAAAGACAGGAAGAACAGTTTTCAAACATGTGACCACAACTAAGCGAAATGACAGTATCAAACACCTACAGAGAAAGAAACAAACCACGATCTTCTGAAGAGAATGTATACAGATAAACTTCCACTTGAACGGAATAAAATCAGAACTCCCCCCTAGTGTGTCCTTTGTGTGACTATGCATATGAGACTGGATCATCACCTTTACCAATGCACAGCCCTAAATGACATCCGAGCTACACCTTTACCCTCTGAGACCTGACATTGACAACACACTCTGTGGAACATTACAGCAACTGCCTGCACTTATCACTACATAGCACTGAACAGAAGGGCGAGAGCTCAGCTGTTGCTGGATCGATAACAACAACAACAACAACAACTGATGTGGAAACTTACATTTTGGCATGCGTTCTTCTTTCACAGCTGTCCCTGACGCACACATCCTACCGCACCAACTACGGCACCAACCCTGATCACACCCGCAACTCCCTGACCAACTGCGGCATGCGGCAGGTGGAGTACGGTGACCGGCGCGTCCACTACCAGAACACGCGCAAACGCGGCATCTGCATCTTAGTGGACATCATGTCCCGCATGGGCAAACAGGAGGAGACTACCTCTGGTCCGGCCTCGTCGGTGGTGTTGTTGTTGTTATTGTTGTCCCCCTTGTTGCTGTGGTTGTTGTTGTTGGCGTTGTTGTCGTCGTTTTGTCGTTTTGGTAGTGGTTGTTGTCAGCATTGTCAGTGTAGTTGTAGTTATGTTTGTGAGTGGTTGGCGGGTGCTCTGGTGTGGTTTTGCTTCTTCTTTCCTATCAATTCTTCTTTTTTATGTTTGTTACTCTCTTGTAACACCTCTAATCTTCTGGCGCTCATTGACCGTATGCAGTTGCGAGCGCCGCAAACCTTTACTAAACCTAGTAATGTTTGTGGTTTTTTTTGTCACCACAAATACTATTTTGGCCATTGTTACTATTATTGTCATTGTCATCAATGTTGTTGTGATTGATGTCATTGTTGTTTTGGTTTTTGTAGTTGTTATCATTATCATTTACGTTGTTGTTGTGGTTTTTGTTGTTGCCATCATCGTCATTGTAATTTTCAGTACAGTTCTCCGTGTTTCATAGCAAGTGACTGCAAAAGGCAACAGAATCTGCATAAAGCCTGTAAGGTTTCATCTTGTGAAGTCATACGGAAGGCTAATTAAGCAAAAGAATGTTTCTAGAAGCTAACGTCGAGCAAGATTTTTAGTTATTTGGACTATATTGTTGAGTACTGTGTTGTATAATGTTTTCGAGAAATCTACTATAACTGTTGTTTAATTGAAAGGTAGATATTTTAGAATTTGCTTGCCAGAAGGCTAGCTAGCAAGAAAATGACCAGAGAGTGCTCAAATGATGTATTAGAATGCGAGGTCTGGCTGTACCCATTTCTGGTTTCGTTTTTTCTTAACCCTTCTTTTTTACAGCCTGGATTTTTTGTTTTTGTTTTTGTTTCTGTTTGTGTGTGATAAAAACTAACAGATTTCGTGGTTGTGTTTGAAGATTCACAGACCTCTGTTGAACATCGAATTCATTTTTTTTTTCTACGCCCGGGGCGATGCCACTGACTGAAGTGTCTTTAGGCCATTCCCAAAGGGGGGACATTTCTCATTCTAATGCATAGTAGAATTGTAAATGGTCTGATCCAACAATGTCATGCTCATAACTGTGCTTGAACTGCAACAGGGAACTGCTGCTTTTTCTTTCCTAATCCTTACTATCATCATTTTCCTCTACTTGTTTTGTATGTTTGTCACACTCTTGTGACCCGCTATTTCCGGGGTGCCTTGATAGTCGAAGCAGAGGTGAGCAGAATAAATTTTATTCCCTGTAAGGACTTTTCTGTTGACACCCAGCCGTTTGCGCTCATTTGACCGTATGCAGTTGTGAGCGCCGTAAAACCTCTACTAAAACTAACTAAATTCTTTTTCCTTTCAGAAATCCCCCATAATGAAAGGTTGGAGTTTCTGGGTGATGCTGTCATTGAGTTCTTGACCAGCGTCCATCTGTTTTACATGTTCCCGTGGCTGGAGGAAGGGGGGCTGACCACATACCGAATGGCCCTGGTTCAAAACCAACACTTGGCTTTGCTGGCAAAGAAGTTGAAGCTACAGGTAAGGATGCTGGTTCATTAAGCTGCTACCATAATATTGATTATGATAATGGATTGGTTGACTGTAGAAGTTTCAAGCCGTGATCGACACAATTTAAATTCGTCTAGATTGCAGTTTGCTTCAACCCTAGTGGTCAGAGCAGCTCTGGCTTGTTATTTGGAAAGACAGGACAGCTTGATAAAATTTCTTACTAGTGTGAGAATCAAATTCATGTCTTTTACGGGCAAGATGAAGAATCTAACCTTTACACAGCAGATGCAGGTTTTATGGTGTATTTATCCTGGAAATAATAATAATAATAATAGATAGATAGCATTTGTATAGCGCATAACCCCGCTCGAAAGCAAGCTCTATGCGCTTTACACTATATTATTACCCCAGCAGACCATAGAACACTCAGAAACATTCTCAGCTTCCCGGGAAGCATACAGTGCAAGCTGCGGATTTCACGCGCTCAAACACTAACAAACTCACAAGATCTTTCACTGTCTATAGCTGGGTACCCATTCCAACCTGGGTGAAGTGAGGAAAATTCGTGTAAAGTGCCTTTCCCAAGGACACAACGTCAGGTCCCTGACAGGATTCGAACCCACGACCTTACGGTTGCGAGTCCGAGAGCCTAACCACTAGGCCACCGACGCCACCAAATGAGATGGACGAGTGGTACTGTGACTACGCTTTAAGCTGACATTGAGCATGGGTGGTTGGTTGGTTCTCTAGTGTGGTTTACTTCTTCTTTCCTATGAAACATCTATCATCCTTATCTCCCATTTTTCTTTTTTATGTTTGTTACTCTCTTGTAACACCTCTTATCTTCTGGCGCTCATATAACTTTATGCAGTTGCGAGCACCGTAAAACCTCTACTAAAAAAAAATGACATTGATCGTTATCTTTTTACTTCTCCCGTTGTCCTCAACAACGTCATTTTACATACAAGCGATTCATTGTGGTGTTTGATTTTTTAACACATTTGGCTTGATATTGTTTGTTAAGTGCGGTTGAAGAGGAACGTTTTGGAAAGAAATTTCCCTAAAGGCTTGTCGATTGCTTGCTTCCAGAAGATAAGACTGTTTTCTACCAACCCTTTCATGTGTTTACAATCAAATGTGAGCGACGTGACTGTAATTAAAATGAAAAAAAAAAATTATATATACAGTCGAACCAGCTCTAATGGCAAACCGCATGAGACAATAACTTGTACAAATGGCCACTTTCTATTTCCTCCCTTATGTACTCATCAGATTATAATGACACTGTGTAAGGCATCATCTATCCACCTGGCTAATACAGCCACTTTCTCCTCAACGATATGTGGCCGTCTTTAACATTTTCAACTGTATTTACTTGAAGAGTATGACATACCAAAAGAAAAAATTGGGACTTGAAAATTGTAATTATTTCCATGTCAGTTCATTTTGTTAAATGTTTTATAAGGGTCAGCTCTGTTTAAATGACTTTTGTTGTTATTGTTGTTGTCCCTTCTCTTCCCTCCTCTTCTTCCTCCTCCTGGCCTTCTCCTCCTCTTCACCTCCCCTTCACCTCCCCCTCCTCCTCCTCTTCCTCTTCCTCACTGTCCTTCCCCCATCATCCTCCTGCTCCTCCTTTTCCTCCTACTGTTATTGTTTTTATGATAATTGATATTTTGTCTTTCGAAAAGATTACGTTGATTGTTGTTCTTATGATTATGATGAACATAATGGTGTGTGTCCCCCCCAGGAGTTCATGTTGTATGTCCATGGGCCAGACCTGTGCCACGAGTCGGACCTGCGTCATGCCATGGCCAACTGCTGTGAGGCCCTCATGGGGGCCCTGTTTCTTGATGGAGGTATGTGTACTGAAGGGGGCCCTTGCTCTGCCCTACGCTGACAAAACGCCTTTTTCTCACTCAAAGCAGTTTTTAAAAATCAACGATTTTCAGTTTTCTTACAATATCTGTTGAGCACATTTTCTTCAGGGTGCAAGATCAGCTGTTGACGTACTGTGCAAAATAGATTCAGAAAGCCGAAAATCGTTAGTATCTCGTAACTGTCGTAAATAAGAAAAAGGCGTTTTGTCAGCGTACAACGCTACTCTGCCTACTGATGCCATTGACTATAAATGGCGGAGTCTGCTTAAACTGATCATGGTTAATCCATAAATGGCGGTAAACGAAATGAAAATGAAATCCCTAATTTATTTTTTTCTTCCATTTAAGCAACCCGTTTAAACTGATATCCTGGTTATACCGAAGAAAATTTTGAGGTCCTGCAGATTTTGGTTTAAGCTGACTCGATCATGTATTGAGTTTTATGCCTTTTGTTTTCTTGCTGTGTTGATCATTTAAGAATCCAAAGTTTGTGCATTTGAAACCCTCGAGAATAACTGGTCATGTTAACGATTGCTGGTGTCATAGTTTCTACGTGTTCTTTGTTGATAGTCCGCAATCCGTTTTAGAGTGTACTGGTGACAGTACTGAAATTTGGGTTTCTGACATCAGTATTATGTTCCTTGGATATTTGAGCGATGCAGAGTCCAAAATAACTGGAGGGTGTTGTTTGCATTTCAATTTAATTTCGCCGTATATGCTTGTGTAATGATGTGGGATTTACACGTGTGTTACTATTTGCATAAGTGGTGTGTATGTGTGTGTATACACCCCCACCCCCCTCCCCCCTCCAACTCAGTTTCGTCTCACATTTTCCATTTCTGTTCCTATAGGCATTGATGTGGCTGACAAAATTTTTTCGGGAACTCTCTTTGACGATGAAGACGTTCTGTTGGGGACCTGGAATGACCTTCCCCAGCACGTGCTGCAGCAGGAGGAGCCGGCCGGGGACAGACACTGGGTCAAGTCCAGCCCCATCCTCAAGGTGATCTTCAGGAGATAGGGAGGGGTAGGGGGAAGGGCGGATCTTTATACTTCTATTATTTTTTTTAAAATACACTATATGTAGTTTTTGCAATTTTACAGGAGAGCCCAACAACTGAATATTGTAACCAAGAAAATAAACTCTTTGCAAACATCCAAAGGCAATGGTTTTAGGAATGCAATATTGATGTTGTTGTTCTTGTTGTTGTTGTTATTGATCCAGCAACAGCTTGGCTCTCGCCCTTCTGTCCAATGCCATGTAGTGATAAGTGCAGGTTTGCTGCAGTTGCTGTAATGTTCCATAGAGTGTGTTGTCAATGTGAGGTCTCGGAGGGAGAAGGGTAGAGATATGCAATATTGATAACTTTCTTATTATCTTTAAAGCAAATATTGTTTTACTGGTAACAACATTCAGGTTTTTGGCTCTCCTTTAAAATTGTAAAACTACATATACTGTATCTTTTAAAATGTCGCAGTATAGAATATAGAGGAATAGAGATGTAAAGACGGCCCGTAATTTTTCTCCTCACTGGGACCTCTTCTTTGGCCTTTACTGTATTAGGTAGACGGTAGAGTATGAGTTAACAATTCAGAAGTCAACTATTATCTTTTGAGACTACATTAAACGTTTTATACTTTCTGCTGCATAATTCAAAAAGAGAAAAAAGTAAAGAAAAAGAAAGTCCAGTTTTATTTTTTTCGTGTGGTGACATTGAAGTCGCTATGACACGTACTTTCCACGCATAAAATCTCTCAAAGGTTACATAAATATCACATGATACGCAACAGATCATTCACACCAACAATAATACATAACTTGTTGTTGCTAAGGCTGCAGAGAGGAAAATAGACATTCATCACTAATTTTCTCATTAAAAAATTTATTTTTTTTGGTCAGTGTTTTACGGCGCTCACAACTGCATAAGGTCATATGAGCGCGCGGGACACACCTAATATTTTCAGTTGGAAGGAAATTTTGAATTTTGCCCAGGTGGCGGCCGAAGCCTACTCTTATCGATTTTACACCACCAAGGGATCTTTAACGTGCGCAACTTGCACTCAGACCCTCTGAGATTTCTCGCCCTTGCCTGAGAAGGCTAGGTGTAGATCTTTCCTACCAGAAGATCAGGGGTGTGGCAGAAAGACAGCAGTAAGGAGGAGCCAAGGAGTAGCAGTAGAAAGGTTGCAGAAAGTATCAGGAGCCCAGAGGAGGGGGCAGAGGGGATGGGGGCAGAAAGCAGACGACAGAGCATTGCTGGAGAGTAGGAAAGGAGATGAAAGGAGACGATTTTAGAGAAGAAAATTTTTCGGTTGCTACCCGTATTCGAACCCGGGACCTTTGAATGAGAGGCCAACACCTTAACATCTAGGCCACGAGAGCCCCTAATATTCTCATTTCTCATTTACTATTACTATTAATTTAGTAATAGAGCCATGAAAATTTCCCACTGGGACAATAAAGTATCTTCTTATCTTATATTTAACTTTACAGAATGATAGGAAAATGCTTTTAAATTAGTTTTACTGAAATTAATGTGGCCAGCCGCCAAGGTATTATTTATATAAATGTCTTTGTGACTTTGCCAAAACTGCTTACATAAAAGACCTCAAACTGTGTAGTTTATATGGCAGTCCAGGAACAAAGTCATACTCAAGACAGCCGGAAGAAAAAAGCGAAGAGGTGGACTTATTTTTGCTTTGTAAACATTTTGGTAAGTACCGCATTTATGGGGATGCATGATAGTCGTAAGTAAACTTAGATGTTTGTAGCCTTTGTTAGCTCACTTTGGAACAAAATGGTTAATTTTATTGTGTCATTCCTGGATCACTTCTTTGCAGAAACTGGAGACTTTTGAGGAGGCTATCGGTGTCAAATTCACTCACATTCGCCTGTTGGCCAAAGCATTTACTCACAGAAATATTGGCGTGAATCCTCTCACACAGTGAGTATTGCATTTGTCGGCGTACAAATGTTCAAATGCATTTACAATGAATTATGTCATATTTGAATTCCTTGATGGGTATTGATGTTTGGTTGGAGGGGACTTACTTTACTTTACTTTTTTCTTCCGCTTGTACCCTGGGGTGTCGCGGGGAGACACAGGTGTCTGTCTGCAGCAAGTCGTGTGGCCTGTAGGAGGGACATCCCATGATCTTTAAGGGTGTCTGCCACAGATTCACTCCATCGTCGCCTTGGTCTTCCTCTGGCTCTCCATCCAGAATATTTAATGTTGTATGCTCTCAGAGCTGGATGGTTTGAGGGCATCCACGTGAGGTGTCCGAACCACTTGACCTTTTGTTTTTCAATGTGTGGTAGGACTGGTGTTGCTCCCACGGTGTCCCTTATGACTTCATTTTTAATTTTGTCTCTTCTTGGAGGGGACATCTTGCTTTTATCCTACAGTAAATGACTGTCATTATGTTGATGTGTTTCTCTTTATTCAAACAAACAAAATAACTAGTGGGTAATATACTTCTTTGGCTAAAGCAGAAATTATATTGCCCGCAGTCCTAGTTTTGACCCATATGTGTTTTGAGTTGTTGGTTTTTTTTCTGGTGATAATCTGACTAAAGTTTATTTGATTTTGGTTTCATATTTTTACATGTAGAATCCACTTTTCCAGAAACAAGTCTCCACTGCATACAAAGGACAGTCCTATCAAAGTGAAAAAAAATCTAATTTCTCAGTGCATTTTAAATAGATGGACTTTGCAAAGGCACAATTATTGTCATGCCAGAATCAAAATCCTAGTGTTCAGACTCTGGTGATTGCTGTATAGGGCGGGGAAATGAAAACAAAAGTGAGATGAAAGGAAAGGCTTTGTCTCTTAATTAACCATGCTTCTACTTTCTTTGTCTTGATCAGTGGTCATAATCAGCGTTTGGAGTTTCTTGGTGACACCGTACTCCAGCTCGTGGCTTCTGAGTACCTGTATAAGCACTACCCGGGTGAGTTGGGGCTTTTGATTGATCAGCTTGTGGTTAGAAAATGAAATTACGTGTGCTCCCAACTTGGGATGCGATGACTTGTCACACTTTGTTGAGGTCACTATAAGTATTCTTTTTTAAAAACTCATGTACATGTGAGGGGCATTTTTGTGTGTTTTTAAATGTAGTTTAGTTTTGTCATGATGATGATGATCATCATCATTATCATTACTACTACTATTATTATTGTTATTAATTCATTATTACTATTATTATTATTTGTATTATTATTATTATTATTGTTATTACTATTATTATCAATATCATTATCATCATCATTAAAAACATGAAAGTGTTGATTAAATGTAATGATGTTTGAGTTTACATCTTTTTTTTTTTTACCTCAGAGCATCATGAGGGTCATCTGAGTTTGCTGCGCAGTTCTTTGGTGAACTCTCGCACCCAGGGCCTGGTCTATGATGATCTGGGCATGTCGGAGTACGTTATCTTTAACGAGAATGCTGTATCGGACGGCATTGACATGAAGACCAAGCAGAGGGCTGACATTCTTGAGTGTTAGTAAATCTCTTGATCCTTGACCTGCCTCTCTTTCGTTCTCTCAGTCTCTTTCTTTCTCTTTCCTTCTCTCTCTCTTTCCTCCTTTCTCTCTCTCTGTCTCTCTCTCTCTCTCTCTCTCTCTCTCTCTCTCTCTCTCTCTCTCTCTCTCTCTCTTTCTCTCTCTTTCATTCTCTTTATCTCTGTCTCTCTCTCACTCCCTCATCCTCTTTTCTTCTCTGTCTGTCTGTCTGTCTGTCTGTCTGCCTGCCTCTCTCTCTCTCTCTCTCTCTCTCTCTCTCTCTCTCTCTCTCTCTCTCTCTCTCTCTCTCTCTCTATCTCTCTATCTCTCTCTGTCTCTCTCTCTCTCTGTCTCTCGCTCTCTCTCTCTTTCTCTCCCCCTTTCTCTTTCTTTCTCTTTCTATCTTTCTTTCTCTCTCTCTCTCTCTCTCTCTCTCTCTCTCTCTCTCTCTCTCTCTCTCTCTCTCTCCCCCTCTCTCCCTTTCTCTTTCTTTCTCTTTCTCTCTCTTTCTCCCTCCCAAGATGCACTTTATGATTTGAGGGTGGTTGGAAAGTGCTTGTGGTACTTCTTTGATTGTTTTTTTTTCCAGTCCTTCTGTCACTTTTTTCTGTGGTCTTGTAGACTGCTACTTGTAGTTTCTACTTCTTTGTCATCCCTGTCTTGTTCCTGTTTGTCAGTCTTGCTTTTATCCAGCCCTGAATGGACATGAATATGTCACAGTGTTTTCATATATATATACTCACACCGTCTGTGGTCTTGACTTTTTCTTCTTTACTCACTAATTGCAATTCTGTTTCTGTGGCTCTATGTGTAAATCTCCTCATAAATACAACCTGTCAGTTCGCTTTTGTTTGTATGCATGTATATTGTTGAAGCTTGCCGTTGGTGTGTCTTCCTTTTTTTTTTTCATTTCTTCCATTTTGTATGGAGTTGAGTAAAACTTTCACATAGTGTAGTAATACCATTCTGCAGCTTCGCAACTATCCATATCACTCTACACAATTCTTTCTAGTGGCTCATGAGAGAATATTATTATCTCTTCATTGTAAACATTCTGTTTTTAAGAATATTCAATCTTCCCAACTACAGAGCTCTGTGGGTGGTTGGTGGGTGCTCTGGTGTGGTTTGCTTCTTTTTTCCTATCAAACATCTATCGTCCTTATCTCCCCTCCTTCTTTTTTGTGTTTGTTACTCTCTTGTAACACCTCTAATCTTCTGGCGCTCATATGACCTTATGCAGTTGTGAGAGCCGAAAAACCTCTGCTAAAACTAAACTGCAAGTTTTTGTCTTCTGTTGATCTCTTTTCTGGCAAAGTTAAGGTTAAGTTGTGTTAAGGGGCCAGATTAAAAATGAAAGACTTATAGAACAAGGTTAGGGCAATGTGGAGGATTGGCGATATCGTGCTTCTTTTTAAATTGGACTTACCGAGGGTTGTTTTTTTCGTGGGTAGTTGTAGGGGACTAGTGGTAGGTCCTACCTCTTCATTCTTTATTTTCTGCTCTAATTATTCTCTCTGCCTGATCTTGCTTTTCATCAACACTAAATTATGTGACTGAGTGTTGTTGTGTCAATGTGCTCCTCTTTATTCAAACTTTTTTTTTTTCTGCCTTTTGGGAAATACGACAAATGTTAAATGACATTTTGATGGTAGATTGCTGTGTATTTATCAACTCAACCGGTTGTCTTGAAGTCATGTGACTGTGTGGGCGATTGGTGCTCTGGTGTGGTTTGCTCCTTTTAATCTATTAAGCATCTATCGTCCTCATCTCTCCTCCTTTCTTATGTTTGTCACTCTCTTGTAACATGTTTATTCTTCTGTTCTTATATGACCTAATTGTATTGCAAGTGTGGTAAAACTCATACTAAAACCAAAAAAAGTCCTGTGAGCCTTTCACAGTAATAGAATATAATTTTAATATAAATGGTAAAATATCACTTCGACTTTTTTTCGCCTGTTTATTTCTTTTGCAGCATTTGTCGGCTCGCTGTTTGTGGACAAGGGCTTGGACTACTGCAGGACATTCTGCAATGTCTGCTTCTTCCCTCGTCTGAAGGTGACTGCTTTAGCAAAACTATGGTCAAATGATGTGTTGATATTTAAGTGAAAATTGTTATGCAGATACTTCTGGCTGCAAATTATACGAGCATGACCCAGTAATTCACTAATGGAATGCATATGTTCTTGTTATAGTTTCTTTTTCTGATTTTTGTTTGTTATCTGACTCTGGTGTGTATGTTAATGGCTATTGCATTGTTCACCATGATGATGAGATCTTTGTCTTTTCTTTACTTTTATAGGTTGTGTCAATCTCTTAACTCACTTTAGTTTTTTTCCAACCCCTGTTGTGGAAAGCCGGGCTGAGTGCATAATATGTCAAATCCCGCACCTCTTGTGTGATCTATATTGAAACTCTTGGCATAAGTTGTGGAAAACGCCACATCATGTATCATTTACCTTCTGCGGATGGAAGTTTCATTTCAGCTTTTGTTTACGGGAAGTAGTTTTTATGTAGTGGGTGATTTTGGAAACTCACATCAACTGATCAGCAATGTTTTCCTTCTGTCACTGCGGTCAAGAAGTTGGTGTTTATTACGATGTCTTGACAAACGCTCTCTATTTTGAGATTTTAAAATGATAATAGCGATGATGATTTTAGCTAGGACTTTGGAGACTGCAACACTGATGTAGATTCATTCAGAGTTCATAGTTAGTCGGACTGCGGCCTGTCTAAGATGACCACTTTTCTTCTCAACAATGGTTGACCGTCTTGGACCAGTTCGACTGTATCTTTTATTTTCTTGACCCTGGCAGGACTTCATTCTGAATCAAGACTGGAATGACCCCAAGTCTCAACTCCAGCAGTGTTGCCTCACCCTGAGAGAGGTGGGCGGGGGAGAGCCGGACATTCCCATCTACAAGTGAGTCGGCTGGTGCCAAATTTTTTTCTTTTCTTAACCCCCCTCAAGCCTTACGCCCTGAACCTAACTTCCCTCAATACCTGGCATCCTGAGCAAAAGTGTTTAGAAAGTGGTTAATACAGGAAAATGAGTTATCAGAAACACATGAAACTTGGTAGAAATTCAGATAAGAGGCCTACTTTTGAGCTAATGCCAATGCTGGGATAGGTTTTCAGGCACTACTCGTGTTGTGAACAGTTTAAAAACATGACGCGACCTTCCAATTGCCGGTGTACCGGGAATCCCTCGTAGGTGAAAGTTTGGAGTATTCCCTGTATACCGGGAATACAGTCTGACAGGTTTAATGAAGGTTTTGTTATGCTTCCCCCCCCCCTCCCTCCTCTTCCCATGGGTACAATTTAGATCATTTAGGAGCCAGGCTTCTGACTCTGCCAAGTGTATTTTAACCCCATTTCCTTTCTGGTGCTGTTTCGGGAATTGAGTTCAAATACTGATATGCAAAAAGTTTTTTCCTAATTTTTTTTCTTTTCCTTTTTAAAAAAAAAATGGAAGGTATTGTTGTGCCCCAATAGACACAATTTAGATCATCAAGGAGACAGACTTCTGGCTCTGCCTGTATATAGATACAACATCTCAACAGAAGGACCAAGATACTTGATGAAAATTTTTTCTCCACTCGGGAATCAAACTCAAGTCACCTGCATGTAACAGCAATGTGCCTTACTGCTACACCACCGTCGCCTGTAAAGTTTGTTCACATAGGAACATTTTGATTCATCACATGTGAGCCATGCTGTCAAAATGAGGAACTTCTCGCAATCCCCGAATTTAAATATTGCCCAAAAAATCAACATAGGGGCCAAATTTGTTGGTTTTCAATCTATGCTATTTTCTTCTAGTTTACTATGTCTTTTATCAATTTTATTGCGACTAATAAATTGTATAAACTTAGCCTATAAATTTGATATATCTATGTCAATAGAGCTGAAATCTGAGAAGTAACTCATTTTGTAAGCACACCTCATATTTTGTTTGTGCTTCAATGGAGCTTCGCTAACTTGGATTTTTGCACACAAAAAAAATTTTTTGCCCTAAAAGATCCCTGATACCTTGCTGCACAATGTGTATAAAGATTAAATCCAGATTCTGACATCATTATATTATATCTAGTATTTTTATAATAAGCAAAGTGAACAAGACACTCAAGTAGGTCACCAAAGTATACTAGTTTTACAACTTACATACAGGGTGATCCAAAAAAAACTTAGCAACTTGTTTTGTAAATATCTTCTCCCATACTGAAGTCTTGCGTTTCAGATTTGAACATAACGTTTGGAAGCCAAAAGGAATTTTTCTGATATGTATTTTCGATAAGTCCATTGAATGGTTTTGCTCTATATAGCGCATTAAAAAAACAACCCAATTTCAACCTTGTCGCCATTTTCATAGCATGACGCACCAGTTTGCATAAGGCCTACCTCTAAAAGTTGCAACAATCGCGCCTTACTGCAAGCTACAGCAATCTATTAAGTCAACAGAAGTCTGCAGATATTATTTTTCCCAAATTTTGTTTGACTGCTGAGATCATGGCTACGTTTAGTAAACAGCAGAGAGCTTTTTGTGTTGAACTTTACCTCTCTGCAAACTCACCATCCCTGACATTTCGTAAGTTCTGCGCATGGCATGGAGAGAATGCTTAGGTGCCCTCAAAATCTTTGGCGTCATGAGTTGAGAAGTTCCGTCAGTTTGGATCTATAGCGAACCAGAACTCAAAAGTTCTTTAAAAAATGACCACTTCAGGTCGAACACGCACCATGTGCAGCCCTTTATGTCACCAGAGTGCAGATTTCAGTAGCCGAGTCCCATGAGATGTCTGTCCATAGATGATCTGCAGCTAGGACTTTCCTACACATCAATAGTCTGCATTCTCATGGCAGATCTTAACCTACGACTATACCATGTTCATCTGCACTAGGCCGAGATGACATGGATCAGAGCATGACAATGTGTTCATGATTCCTCAATTGTCTAGTAAAGAGGGACCATTTCCTCGATGACTTTTGGTTTAGTGCAAAGCCCATTTTCACCCTGCGGGATATGGTAACTCCAAAAATGCTATCTATTGGGCACCCCACTCTATTGTCTCTAGAAGCCACTTCTTAGTGAACATGTACAGTGTATGTGGCTTTAAAGACTCATGGTTTAACAGGTCCTTGTGTTAGGGCGCCACTGAACATTTCGAATGACGCGTTAAAAATGTGTCGAGTCCAAAGGTGGGAATGTGGAGCACTGCTTCTAGGAATTTCAAAATTAAATCATTAGGTTTTTGAAACTCTGTAAACGAAATTAAATATTGTTTAGATGTCACAGGGATGGAAAATTAATGTCAAAAGAGAAAATAAAGAAAACGGTCAGCTAATCTTTTCACGACTTCCTTTACAAGATTTTTAAACATTGGTGAACTTTGTGTTTTTGGGGTGCTTTTTTGTTTTTAACCGTTTCCGTTTTCAAAACATGTTTCTTCTTCGTGGATTTTATATCAAACAAATTCTTTTTGAATGAATTATGTCTGTTCCAAATTACAGCGTTCTAAAACAATTTTTGCGCGAGATATTCAAAATAAAAGTTGTAAAGTTTTTTTTTGGATCACCCTGTATTTTGGACATTTTCATCTTTCCAAGATAGGAAAACGATTTAACTAAAGCTTTGTACAATAATTACATGGTCTGGTGTTATTGGATCTTTGTCTTAAACTTTAAAAAAAAAAGAACTCCTAATCCCGATTTTCTACTGTGTTGCAAAAGTTCTGTCACACCCACTTTAAAAGTACAATAACTCGTTTACCTTTTAACGTTGCCATGAGAAATTTGGTACACATGATCTTTATTCATTTTCTGCCAACATGACATGAAAAGAATTGGCTAATGTTATTCCTTATTCAAGGGCGATAATTGTATAAACACTGACCTTGGCAAAATCCAAATCAATGTTTGTTAAGTATTGTGTGGGGCCTCTTACAGCTTGATTTACTGCTACGAAACGTTTGTTCATCGACGGAATTAATGTCCTTATGGTTGCCTGAGGAATCCCCTGCCATCCCTTTTGAAGTGCACCCTTCAGTTCCTGACAAGTTTGTACAGAGTGCAGCATGTTTCTAGTCCTCCAGTCAAGGTCATCTTTCAGATGTTCTGTTGGGTTAAGGCTTGTTGATCTTGGAGGCCCATCCAGATGGTTGATAAGATGGGTTTGGAAGGAGTTTTGGCTAATCATGGCTGCATTGGGTCGGATGTTGTCTTGTTAGCACATTCCACCATTTTGTGCCATATTGGGCAGTCAACGTGACGATGAATTTCGTCACTATACAGTTGTCCTTTCATGTTGCTTTAAAAAGTGACCAGATGTGTACGATAAAGAGCAGGGAATCCGCCCGAGTCCATCCCATTCCAGGCACCGGATCGGTCCATTTTGGGGACGTTAACTTCGTGATATCTTTGTCCTCTTCTTTTAAACACTTTTTTTAGTCCATCAATGCGACGAATTAAAAACCTGAACCATTGCTGAATGGAACACTTTACCAATGTCCTCGGTTCCATCGACAGTGTTGGTGTGCCCAAATTTGGCGATTTATTGGATGAAATAGGGTTAGAATGGATCCTCATAAAGGGCGATGATCACGTAATCGACGATCATATAAATGTCTTATAATGGTGTTTTAAGACAGTCCGAGGTTCCTGGCAGTCTGCATTTGCTTGGAACAGGTTTTGAACCTGGGTTTTGACTATAACCCACATCTGATGTTGGGTTGTCGCCCTTGGTTGACCACGTCTAGGCTTGTCTTGGGCAGTTCAAGTGGTGTTAAAACATTTGTTCAAGCGTTAGATGGTACTACTGCACACATTTATGTGTCTTGCAACTGAAGAAAGCGCAATTGAAGAATGTATCATACACACAGTGCCTTTTTCTTCTGAATTGTCCGTTTTGTTACTTTGAAAACTGGTGAACAAATGACCCAACTATTAAAAGTCACGGAATTTCATAGTATGTAAGGTGTGTTTACACATTGTCTGCGTGGTTTAACGCAAATTTTGTGTGTAGGGTGCATTGATTTCAACCTACACCGTGAGAAATCAAAACCAACATTTTGCTCACGTACTACTTCCGGTTCATGATTTCTTTTGTCTTCTCATGCACGTGGAGTCTCATAAGTCACACAAATCATATTTTTTTTATTTTTGCTGCAATTCTTACACTGTAGCAAAAATCATTGTAGTATAATGGGTGTGACAGAACTTTTGCAACTCGGTATATTTGGGACCAAGGTGGAACTGATGTATCGAATATATTTGGGAACAGGGCTCAATGAGTTCAGTAGAGATTTTGTGAAAGTTCCTTTTCTCACTAATGCCTTTTGTTGTTCATTCATGCTTTTATATGTTGAAAGAATTTTTGTGGGTTTTTTAATTTTTAATTTTTAAAATTTATTTTTATTGATTTATTGATTTATTCCTTCTTTTTTGCTTTTAAAAATGTATTTATTATTTATTTTTTTATTTTATTATTTAAGATTTTGGGGGGGAGGGGGGATTTCTTTCAGAAATAGCATTTATACTACCTTTCAATTTAAAACAGTCTTTATCCAGTTCGTTCCCATAGCATATTCTGACTGAATGTACTCTCTGCTTCTCCACCCACACAGAGTGATCGAGTCGATCGGGCCGACCAACACCAGGAAGTACGTGGTGGCCGTCTACTTCCGAGGCAGCCGCCTGTCCACGGGCACCGGCCACAGTATTCAGCAGGCAGAGATGGCCGCCGCCACCAACGCCCTGAAGAAGCGAGCGGGTGGGTTCATGAGCAAGATTTTTCGGAGGGATTCCCCTCTTCTCTTCTTCTGCTTTTCAGGATATTATTTCCGTGGGACATTAACCGTTACCATACGTCGGTATATTTCTTTGCAATGCATTCGTCGTGTTCCAATTTTAGAGCAGTTATCATAACTCGTAATCGAGAGCATTCCAAACTTTTTCCAAGATAGTTTAGATAACGGCCTTTAAAGAGAGAGTGGAGAGCTGTTTCGAGAAGGAAGGGTGAGTAAACTGGAAACATTACTTAAATTACGTGAATAATGTTTGAGTTTGGCTTCACGCTCAGCACGCTACCCTTCTACAAGTACACACTCAGCAGCCTCCCCAGCATTAGATAGCAACATATGTGGGTGCTAAAAATAGAACTCGCATTGTCATGACCTTGTGGGCTCGCTTTGCTTGGGTGTTTTTCCACTGTGTGCCATTATTGGTACACAAAGTGTGAATAGGGGGTAGGGTAGAAAACGATAATCAATTTCAAAACTTCTTATCAAAACTTCTAATTGCCACTGTTTCAATGTTGGAAATTGAGTACTTGAGGCATTCTTAGCTGCTCATAGACATGAAGCTAGCGATAAAAGAATGAAATGAAATTTAAAACACCCTGTACCATTTTTGGTACACAGTGTACGGTAAAGGTTAATTTTCCTTCATTCTGGACATTTCATTCTTTGTTCGATGATCATTTAATGATTTTTTTGTTGGCTGTTTTTGAATGGGTTTAACACTGCTGACATTTATGGGGTCTCTGGTGGAGGAGCTGTATATGGACTATTTGTACTGACAGTCGTTCAAAAGTAATGATTGCATGCACTTAAAAGGTTTAAAGTTTAAGTTGAAACAGATCAACTTTGTTAGTCAATAGCGTTGTCAAACAGCTGAAAAACATACTGAAAACTCTGAGAGCACAAGATTCTTATTCTTTCAATCTGCAAGGTTTTGCAACATCTCATTGCTTGAGTTTAGCACGGTTTTTGCTGGCTACTGCGATGTTCTACACTAAAAATATCTGAACTGTAAGAAGTTAAAATGTTTTGTCTTTTTTTCCAGAGTTGTTCCCCATTCTCCAGCACCAGCGACGTTTCTTGGAGCGCATGAGAAAAGACGCTGGAGGCGATCAGCCGCCAGAGAAGAAGCTGAGAAAAAATCGCCCAAATCAGCGTCGTCGAAAAGGGACTAAAAAGGGGACGTAAAGATTTATAACCCATTTCACGAGGTTGACTGAGAGAAAGTGGTAAAATTCAAAAGTTCAAGCAGTGGATTCAGTAGATTTTTCAGGATGTAGTGATACAGGTTTACTACTGAAGCGAAGAAAGAACAATATTTTGTGCACTGCTGGGAACAAGATTTGAATATGTGCAGAATGTAGCATACAGGATATTGATGTTGTTTAACATGTAGCGGAAAGTGGTGCACAGACCCACTCACTGAGAAGATGACACGGGTATGTCAAGTTGTTTGGTTTCATGCGATGTTCCCAGGTTTAATATTTGTGAAGCATTGTGGTGAAATCAGGTGCTCGTCAAAATGGTGAAAATTGAAGAAACCGGCATTTTCCCGCCTGTTTTATCGAAATTTTGTTTTTTGGCTCATAGCTTATTACGTCCATTTAAAAACACATTTCTGTGTGGATTTTACTGTAAAACATTGATTATAGGCTCAAAAAATGTAAATTTTCAGTTTGCTAAGACTCTCAAGCTTTGGGAATCACCAACTTTGATGGCCATTTTCTCGCTAATTTTACCTCTGAAACCAGGTGACCCCCACCTTCTTCAATCGCAAATATTTCAACTTCTATTCAAGAAAGAAGGGTAATTTTTTCATAGAGAGATGGACAAATGGACAAGCTTTAAGATGATACCAATAACTCCCCATCTCCCCAAATTGACAAGCGCCTGATTCCATCGAGTCGTGACACATTTGTTTTTGCTGCTTTTTTTAAGACTGGCACTGTGTACTTTTGCATCTGGGGATAATTATCCCATCTGATAGGAAGTACCTAAACCCTTCATTTTGATGACAATGTCCTATTGAAAAGCCCTTCAGCAAGTCACTAGCTGAGAATTACAAAGTTCTATCAGCTCAGCACCCGCTTAAGTATTTTCGAATCCCATCCCTTCCAATCCCATCCCATCCCTTCTTTGAATGTTTCGAGAACGACTCCGAGTAATCTTACGATTTTTATAGAGCAGATAGAACATTTGGTTTCTGACCTCATGATCTTAGTAACTCAAAACGGCCAAATTTGTCAGATAGAACTTTGTAATACTGGCAACGCCTTGAAGGTTTCAGCGAGGTGACACTTGTGGTGTGCACAGTGGTCCTTGTGTCAAAGAACCATTGCAGTGAGCAATTGATGGCTTGCGATCTTCATGCTGTGCTCTTTAAAACTATCCACTTTCCTAACTGTATTTAGAGGAGCTCTTGAATTTGAGTTGAGCGTAGAGTTTTTAAGGCTCTCCCATTTTCTTGGCTCAGCGATAATGTTAGAGTTGAAGGCCCCTGTTATTAGATAAATTTAATTGTTTGACATCAAACCCATACCACACGGTACTTCTCTCTGCTGCGACCCCTTTCTTGAAGTGAAGAAGCTTTTTTGGCTTGACGTTTCCAGAAAGGTTTTCTAGTAGGGCCTACTAGGAAATTATCCTGAAACGAAGAGATTGTTTTTGAGAAAGACAATTTACAACTTTGCCAACAGGACAAAAATGTTTTCAACTTTTTTCAGATTTTGTATGTGATTTTAAAAATTTCTTTGTGATCCTGTAAGTGCTGGTGTTGTTGAAGTTGTTGTCAATCTTGCAGCTGTTAAGCTCATTCCTTTGTAAGGGGACTGTGTTCTCAAGTTGTGCATGTTCCTGTCTGATCGATGTTCCTGAATGTGTGAGTCCTTATTGTTATGAATGTTGAATAGTTGAAATTGTACGAGACAGCCACCATTGTTGCGGAGAAAAATCTTCCGTCTTATGACGAAAAAATGTATATGATATGCCTGATTAGGTCAACTAGCATTTTTATACAGGGGGGGAAGGCCTTTTTCATAGCAATTTTTTTATCACGCTTTTATGGCTGTACAATTAAAATTTACGAAGTTTTGAGCTTTTGAAAATATGGGTTGTGACCTAATTAGATATCAATATTGTTATGACAAAAGAAATTTTAATCAGTTACTTCATAACTATTTACTCTATACCTCAGCAAATTAGACAAAAGTTAGACTGGCCAACGCACATTGACATAAAATAATCAGGTTGACCAAATTTTAGTTAGATCTAAGTTGGGTTTTTTTTGCCTCTCCTGTAAAATTTCATTTTTGGCATATGAATATACGTTTTTATGTCATAAGATGGCTGAAGTTTCTGTCTTAGACAGGAGGACATCTTTGACAGTGTCATTATAGTATTTTAGATTGACTCAAGGGGGGATGTGGGAAGTAGTCTTTTGTACAGGTGATTGTCTAGGACCGGTGACCACAAAATTAGGTTTTAACTATACTTTCATATTGTAGTTTGATGTATTCACCTACTTTTTTTTTGTGGCTGCCTCTGGAAGCTCTGAATGTTTCCTAATGTTATTTGTTTTGTCACCCCCCGGGGCAGTGCCACTGACTGAAGTGTCTTTAGGCCATTCCCAAAGGGATGACATTTCTCATTCAAGCACAGTAGAATTGTAAATGGGCTGACTCATGTCACGCTCATAACTGTTCCTGATCTTTACTATTGTCATTTTCCTCTACTTCTTTTGTATGTTTGTCACTCTCTTGTGACCTGCTATTTTGGGGTGCCTTGATAGTCGAAGCAGACCTTGTGCTGTTGAAGCTAGAGAGGTGAGCAGTCTAAGTCTGATTCCCTGTAAAGACTTCTCTGTTGACACCCACCCCTTGGCGCTCATATGACCTTATGCAGTTGCGAGCGCTGTAAAACCCCTCTACTATAATAAAAAAACATTTGTTTTGTCGGGGGGATAATAACATGCACTGTCAAACGCATGGAGCCTACTCTCGTGGAGGTATAGGTGCTGTGTAAATTCAATCTGCAATAAATTTTTTTAAATGTATTTTCTAATTTTGAAATTATTGACGTCATTATTACTGTTTCTCTCTCCAGTAACGTGTCTTTTCTCTGTTTGAAAGTACGTCATTTCTTAATGCCTGTTCATTATTTCATGACAAAGCTTTTTCTGCTGTGCAGTTGGTGGTTGGCCATCCCTTTGGTGTTGTTTGCTCCTTATACTTCTCTTATTTGAAAAGTCCCCGGGAAAAACAAGCATAGTCAAACTGGAACTTGTGAGGGTGTCAATTTTAAAAGTTTGTTAGATTGGTGATTTCTTGCTATGTTTGTTGAATGGGAAATCTAACAACAATACATGTAATCAACCAACAGTTGAACAGAAATACAGTTATGAGTCAACAACTTGTGTTCAAAATTGATACTCTCTCAATTTTCAGTTTGTGACTAATCCCATTTTTCTCGTGGACTCCTCATTTGGTGTGGGTGGTTGACAGGTGCTCTGGTGTGGTCTGCTCCTTCCTTCCTATCTAACATCTGTTGTCCTTATCTCTCCTTTTCCTTTTTTAGTGTTTGTTACTATCTTGTATCACCTCTAATTAGTCTAATCTTTAGCACTTATATGATCTAATTGTGTTGCAAACAAAATAATCCAATTTGGTGTTCCTATTTTCCTGATATTATGTTCCTATCAAAATGTGTCTGATGTCATCATGCCGACCTGTTGCAAGCTGCACACCTCAACAAATCATTATCTCAGAACTATTTTGTCCAAAGTGCCTCTTTACTTTAATTAAGTTAAGTACACTTTGGACAAAATTGTTCTGAGGCTACGAAATGTTACATTTTCACCTATTTCGCAGTTTGTTGTCTTTTGTACGATGCCCATCTAAGGTGACATTCTCTGATTAAAAACTGAAATGCCTTACAGCCGAATCAAAGAGTTTGTATGAGTGGTTGGCTCCTTCTTTCCTATCAAACATCTATGGTCCTTATCTCCCTTCCTTCTGTTTTATGTTTGTTACTCTCTTGTAACACCTCTAATCTTCTGGCGCTTATATTGTGCCATAAAACCTCTACTAAAACAAAACAAAAGAGTTTGTCATCTCCGAGAGATGTGTTTAGGGAAACAGTGAAGGGTGTACTATTGGCTTAGTGGGTATCATGCTGCTTTTTTATGCATATATGGCCTTAGTTTTAATCTGCAATGGGGGGGGGGGGTTCTTAACCCTATCTGTACGTCGTGTTTTACTATCGTATCCATACGACATGGGGAACTCTGTGCCACCACTTTCCAAAGAGGAAATTTACTCGTTAATCCGATCCATACATTTTGCTTAGTTTTTGAGAAAAACTGAAAGTTTCAAAGGGATATTCGCACTAGATCTAGAAGTTTTCTAAAATGTGAAGAATACAACACCAGGGATACAAAATGACCCCAGGGCATACAGAGAGGGTTAAACTTTAGGTGTTGGTAATTAGATGAGTTTTCAAGGCTGTTCTGTGAACTGCTTCTTCCGTCTCAAAGATGGACAACATATTGAAGATCCTGCTAGGGGTGGTTGGCAGGTGCTTTGGTGTGATCTGCTCCTTCTTTCCTATCAAACATGTATCATCCTTATCTCTCCTCTTTCTGTTTTTCTGTTTGCTACTCTCTTGCAACATCTAATATTTAGATCTAGCACTCATATGAACTTATTGTGTTACGAGTGCCGTAAAACACTAAACGAAGATTCTGCCTCCTATAATAGATACATGGCAATAAAAAATAATTGCTTGATTATTGTTTTATTGGTTTATTAGAAACAAAAATTGTCCAGGGAAAAATAGAACAAGAAACATTCATAGTTATCTTAAAATGTAGCTAGTAAATAATACTAAAACAAAATTTTGTGTTTCATAATCGTTTAATTTATACTGGCATTGTCATTTGACTGACTACAAAGCTCAAACAGTGTTGTCTGCTGGAGGTTGAAGAAAAAAATCAGCACTTGGATGCAATAAAGGCCTGGTAATTAACTCTCTAAGACAATAACGGACAAGTGTGTCCAGTTAATTAACTGTTTTTGAACTAACGGACAGATGTGTCCTCTAAATTAACTCTCTAACAACATAACGGACAGATGTGTCCACTAAATTAACTCCCTAACGACATAACAGACCGATGTGTCCAGTTAGTTAACTCTCTAACGACATAACGGACCGTTGTGTCCAGTTAGTTAACTCTGTAACGACATAACGGACAGATGTGTCCACTAAATTAACTCCCTAACGACATAACAGACCGTTGTGTCCAGTTAGTTAACCCTCTAACGACATAACAGACCGATGTGTCCACTAAATTAACTCCCTAACGACATAACGGACCTATGTGTCCAGTTAGTTAACTCCTCAAAGACATAACGGACCGATGTGTCTGACCAGTAGCGGACCAAAGGCAATGTTGCGGCACA